CCACTGCACTCCAGCCTGGGTGACAAAGTGAGACTCTGTTAAAAAAAAAAAAAAATTACAATATTTTCTGTGATGTAGTAAACAAGAAATTAGAGGCAAAAATAGCCCTGTCTCTCGCTAAACTTCTAAGGCATTTTTCTAGTACAACTCAACACTAACATTTCAGGCCTTTAGTGCCCTAAATGAGTTTTTAAAAGGGGGAGAAGAGAGGGAGCAAGAGTGTGTCTTAACTCATACATTTATGCATAACAATTATTAAAAAAAAATTTTTTTTTTTTAGAGACAGGGTTTCACCATCTTGGCCAAGCTGGTCTTGAACTCATGACCTTGCAATCCACCCGCCTTGGCCTCCCAAAGTGCTGGGATTATAGGCGTGAGTCATCGAACCCTGTCCAACAATTATTCTTATATTTTAGTTATTGAACGGGCAGGTAGAAAAACTAGGTAGAGAGAGATCCAAGATGGCCGACTACTAGCAGCTCAGAATTGTAGCTCCCAGAGAAAGGGCACAGAACGAGAGGATGCCACGCTTTCAGACGAATTTTTGTTGCCCACAGACCAGGAGATTCCCAGCGGAGGAGCCCCACAGTTCGCCAGCGCGACTCTTGTGGCCAGCGCAGCGGTTTTCCCCGCGCCCCGCCGCGACGGTTCTCCGTGCAGGGTAAACGGGACTGGGTCCCTTTTTGGTCGACGTTTGGAGCTCCGGGAAGGCAGAGTCGCCCATTCACATGATTGAAAAAGGGATTCAAGCGGGAAGCCAGACCGGAGATTCCCGGGCAGAAAACAGGCAAATAACCACGAATCTTAACGTCGCTGTTTTAGCTGGTGCAGTGGGTTGCTCAGATTTCGGCGCTGAGAATCAACAAGTTGGACGTCCACTCAGAGACCTTATTTGAAAGTTGGCAATTACAAAGAGGACAGGTGGATGAACTCACAATGATGGGAAGAAACCAGCGTAAAAAGGCCAAGAATACCCAAAATCAGAATGCCTCTCCCCCTACAGAGGATCACAGTTCCTCATCAACAAGGGAACAAGGCCTGATGGAGAACCAGTGTGTTCCATTAACAGAATTAGGCTTCAGAAGGTGGATAATAAGGAACTTTTGTGAGCTAAGTTCTCCTATTGTGTTCTTCAGTTCCATTAATTCACTTATATTCCTCTCTAAATTGTCTATTCTCGTTAGCATTTCGTCAAACCTTTTTTCCAGATTCTTAGTTTCTTTACATGTTCTTTTAGCTCACAAAAGTTCCTTATTATCCACCTTCTGAATTTAGACCTGGAATAAGCAAACTTAGTGAATATTTATAGAATTCACCACCCCAGGTCTACAGAACATACATTTTTCTCAGTATCATATTAGAGACAAGTTCTCTCTCCCCCTTTTACTTTCTCTTTCTTTCTCTCTCAAAAAAAAAAAAAAAAAAAAAGAAAAAGAAAGAAAAACTAGGTAAATAATATTAATAATTATAGAACTTATTAAACACTATAGAATACTTACTATGTGCCAGGCATTTTGGGAGGCTCTCTCTGTGCATTATCTCATTTAATTAGGTTGATGGACAGCATTCTACTTTCTTAGTTTAGGCATGGCCTCCACAATAAGGATTATCAAAAGTAAAAATATGTAAAAGAAACCCAGAAGGTATTTGTTGTGCTCCTTGGGGAAGCTAGGCAAATCCTTTCAACTGAAAACCATGGTAATTTCCAAGGTCTCTGCCGCTCCCCATCCCCACGGTCCACTTCCTCTTCTCGCTGTTCCTCTCAGAAAAGACCTTTGGACTCAGCCACCACGAAATGGCAGCACTTTATTTATGGTCTCTTTAGAGTGTAAGTTTTCTTAATGGGTCTGCCTGTCATGTTTAACGTCCTTGGCAGGGACCAAGGCAGATGCAGTGCAAATTCTCACTAAAATCGCCGAGCCCTTTGTCTTTCAGTGTCTAAAATATGAACGCCAATGGAATCAGGCCAGAGTTTGAATTCTAGTCTCTTAGCCTTTGTTTCCCCTGTCCATAAAATGACTGGGGTAATTGTTTCCTCCTGCAGTTTATTTATGTATTCACTAATTCATCCATCCATCCAACCATCCATCCAGTTTACTGAGTACCTACTATGTGTCAGGCCCTGTTCTAGGGTGGAAACTAAGAGAATGATGGTACCTGAAGGTCTCTGGAAGCTCCAAAGCCCTAAGCAGTTGCTGCTTTTACTGTCAGTGGTCAGGTGTTTTTTTCCCTACAAATCAACAGAACAAAGAAAATTACCTAAACTGCGAGGACACAGGGAGGAACTTCTTGGCACAGAGCTTTCCAAACACTTTTTCCTGAAGGGATTCAAGAAGCAAGAAAGGTCCTCGTTTGCTAGGACCTTCTCTGAGCTGCCCTCAGGATGTTTCTGGGACTACTTTTCTTGCCCAGAGAATCAAGAAACCCTTCAGTGAATTCCCGGGCTGTACTTATAAATCGAAATTCTCATTCTACCAGGTAGCATTCAAAGAAAATCTGCTGGGTTTCAGTTTCCACGAATTAAAAGTGAAGGTCCGAGCCCTTAACTGGCTGGGGCACGGTTAGCGAGTCACTTAGCATCTCTAAGGCCCGTTTGCAAAGGGGGCTTACGGTGCCTCCGGCCTAAAGTCCTAGAATGAGAGCCTCGTGTCCCAAGGTGGGGCGCGCACCCCAGATTAAAGATCGTCAATGTACAGACGGCAAACTCATCCAATCCAGTGCATGCCTTCCTAAACATCACGAGATTTTAAGAAAAGGAAACTGAAAACGGGAAAGTCCCTTTCTCTAACCTGGCACGGCGTCGCTGGCTTGGAGACCGGTGACAGTCCCCGCGGGCCTTATCCTGATTGGCTGTCCCTGCGGGCCTTGTCCTGATTGGCTGTGCCCGACTCTGTATAACATAAATAGAGGCGTCAAGTCGCGCGGGCATTACTGTGGCAGACTACACTTGGGTCGAGATGGCTCGCTTCGTGGTGGCAGCCCTGCTGGTGCTACTCTGTCTGTCTGGCCTGGAGGCTATCCAGCGTAAGTCTCTCCTCCCGTCCGGTGCTGGTCCTTCCCCTCCCGCCCCACCCTCTGTAGCCCTCTCTGTGCTCTCTCGTTCCGTTACCTCCCTACAAGTTTTCCTTCGTGGCCCCCCGGGGGGCCAATCCTGGGCTCGGTCTCCGGAGAAGCGATGGGGTGGCCTGGGAGTCGCGGGGTGGGGGTGGGGCGGTGCGCCCTGGGACGCGCGCTTCTTGCTCCTTTAGGCGGGGAGCAGGGGAGACCTTTGGCCTGCGGGGTCAGGAGGGCCAGGACGAAGTTTAGGGCGTTGATAGGCGTCAGAGCGCCGAGGTGGGGGAAAGCTTCTCTTCCGCTCTTTCGCCTCGGGCTACGCGAGCGCCGCAGGAGTGGGACTGGTAGGCTCGTCCCAAAGGCTCGGAGCTGAAGGCTGTGAATGCGCGGAGAGGCGCCTGGGGTCTGGGGGAGGCGTCGCCCGGGTCAGCCAGTCCGCTGCGGCTCTGCTTTCCTCGGACGGGAGAGCCATGGACGTTGTCTGGGCGCCCGCTAAGTTAGCCTGCCCTGGCACCTCCGGGTCTACGTGGGGCCACACCGTGGCGAGGAGACAGCACGCGACGTTTGTAGAATGCTTGGCTGTGTTACAAAGCAGTTTCCACCATAGATAACTACTATGGTTATTTTCTGCCTCTCACAGATGGGGAAACTGAGGCACCGAGGTTTTAAGAAACTTAATTACACAGGAGATAAATGGCAGCAATCAAGATTGAAATCAAGCCTGACCAGGGCCTTTTGCGGGTGCGAGTGTCTTTTGGCTGTAATCAGTATGTTTTTTCGGAAACACGCCTGCCTTCTGCGTGAGATTTTCCAGGGGAAACTGGGCGGCCGTGGGCCCTGTGGTCTTTTCTTAACAGAGGGCTTCCTCTTTGGCGCTTTGCCGGGTTCTTTCCAAGTTGTACTGTGCCTCTTACTTTCAGTTTTGAAAACGTGAAGGGGGGGCCGGGCGCGGTGGCTCATGCCTGTAATCCCAGCACTTTGGGAGGCCGAGGCGGGTGGATCACGAGGTCAAGAGATCGAGACCATCCTGGTCAACATGGTGAAACCCCGTCTCTACTAAAAATACAAAAAATTAGCTGGGCATGGTGGCGAGTGCCTGTAATCGCAGCTACTCAGGAGGCTGAGGCAGGAGAATTGCCTGAACCCAGGAGGCGGAGGTTGCGGTGAGCCGAGATCGCGCCATTGCACTCCAGCCTGGGTAACGTGAGTGAGACGCCCTCTCAAAAAAAAAAAAAAAAAAAAAGAAAACGTGAAGGGGTTAGGCTTAGCGGCTCACGCCTGTAATCCCAGCACTTTAAGAGGCTGAGGTGGGAGGATGGCTTGAAGTCAATAGTTTGAGACCAGCCTGGTCAACATGCTGAAACCTCGTCTCTACAAAAAATAAAAATAAAAATTAGCTGGGTGTGGTTGCTCGTGCCTGGGGTCCCAGCTGCTCAGGAGGCTGAGGCAGGAGGATCTCTTGAGCCCAGGAGTTTCAGCTATCCTGGCACCACTGCACTCCAGCCTGGGTAACAGAGCGAGACCCTGTCTCTTAAAAAAGAAAAAGAAGGCCGGGCCCGGTGGCTCACGCCTGTAATCCCAGCGCTTTGGGAGGCCGAGGCAGGAGAATCACCTGAGGTCAGGAGTTCGAGACCAGCCTGGCCAACATGGTGAAACCTTGTCTCTACCAAAAATACAAAAATTAGCCGGGCGTGGTGGCAGGTGCCTAATCCCAGCCACTCGGGAGGCTGAGGCAGGAGAATGGCTTGAACCCAGAAGGTGGAGGTTGTAGTAGCTAAGATCGCGCTATTGCACTCCAGCCTGGGACTCCATCTCAAAAACAAGAATAACAACAACAACAACAATGGAAAAAAAAAAAAGAAAAAAGTGAAGGTTTGTCAAAGTCAGGGGAGTTATAAAACCATTAATAAAGATAATCCAAAATGGTTACCAAGACTGTTGAAGACACCAAAGATCTTGAGCATTTTCTAAATACCTGGCAGTACACTAAGCTCTCTCACCTTTTGCCTGGCAAAAAAATGATCAAAGGCAGAATGTTTTGATCATGAGAAAATTACATTTAATTTGAATACAATTTATTTACAAAATAAAGAATAATGTAGATGTCATCGCTGTTATTGGATTTGCTAATTATGTTAGATGTTGTTTTAAAAAATAACACAGATTTTTTTTAAGAAAATCTTATTTTGAAATTTTCCAAAGTAATCCGTGCCATACATAGACCATTTCTGGAAGATACCACGAGAAATGTGTAATGGTGATTGCCCCGAAGGTCTATTTTCCTAATTTTTCAGTTAAACTTGGGAAACTTAAATAACTCTCCAAAAGTCACAAAGCCAGTTACTGGTTGAGCCCAAATTTAAACTCAGCCTGTCTGATAACTGTCCTCTTAGAAAAGATTACAGTGATGCTCTCAAAATCTTGCCTCCTTCCCTCACAGAGAATTCCAGGCAGGATGAAACTGTGCTATGACCCCTGTGGCATTTATTATGTTCTTATTATTAGAAGCTCAAACGCAAAGAGCTCTCTTAGCCTTTAATGCTATGAAAAAAATCAGCTCTTCAAAGGATCCCCAGTCCACTTCTTGATGGGGCTAGTAGCCTTTCCTTGATGATAGGGTGTTTTCTAGAAAGATGTATCTGGTCTAGATGGCCTGGTACTCCTCCTCTCCACCACCTCCCAGACATGGAGGAGTAGCTGCCTTTTAGTGATCATGTACCCTCAATATATGTATATTTAAAAGAATTTTATACACATATATTTAGTGCCAATCTGTATATTTAGTAGCACTAACACTTCTCTTCATTTTCGATGAAAAATAGAGTTTATAATATTTTCTTCCCACTTCTCCATGGTTGGTCTAGTGATGCCTCTCACTTTGGAAGCACTGGTTTTATAACATTACGCAATGTATTCCCAACCTGGCTAGTTACAGAAATCACCTGTGGATGCTAATTAAAATGCAAATCCCACTGTCACATGCATTATTCCATTTGATCATAGTGGAGAGTATGCTCTGTCCCATTTGCCATAGTCCTCACCTATCCCTATTGTGTTTTATTGGGTCCAAATCAACCATTTAAGGTATTTGCCAGCTCTTGTATGCATTTAGGTTTTGTTTCTTTGTTTTCTAGCTCATGAAATCAGGTACAAAATCAGAGAGGGGTTTGGCATATAAACCTTAAGTGGAAATAAAGAAGTTTTGTTGTTTGTTAAGAACATACCTTGGGTTAGCTGGGTGCGTTGGCTCACACCTGTAATCCCAGGACTTTGGGAGGCCAAGGAGGGTGGATCACTTGAGTTCAGGAGTTTGAAACCAGCCTGGCCAGCATGGTGAAACCCTGTCCCTACTAAAAATACAAAATTAGCCAGGTGTGGTGGTGTATGCCTGTAGTCCCAGCTACTCGGGAGGCTGAGGCAGGAGAATCATTGGAACCTGGGAGGTGGAATTTGCAGTGGGCTGAGCTCTCACAACTGCACTCCAGCCTAGGCAAGTGAGACTCCATCTCAAAAAAATAAAAATAAATAAATAAGAACATACCTTGTGTTGATCCACTTAGGAACCTGAGGTAACAGTAATAACATCTGCCACTTATAGAGCAATTGCTATGTGCCAGGCACTCTACTAGATACTTAATACATTTTAGAAAATCAGATGGGTGTAGATCAAGGCAGGAGCAGAAACCGAAAAGAAAGGAGTAAGCATAAGAAAAAAAAAACAGAAGGGGTGGAAACAGTACAATAACATGAGTAATTTGATGGGGCTATTATGAACTGAGAAATGAAGTTTGAAAAGTAGCTTGGGGCCAAATCATGTAGGCTCTTGAGGGATGTGTTAAGGAATGCTATGGGTGCTGAGAAGCAATCAGAAGTCCTTGAGAGCCTCCAGAAAAAGGCTCTTAAAAATGCAGCACAATCTCCAGTGACAGAAGATACTGCTAGAAATCTGCTAGAAAAAAACAAAAAGGCATGTATAGAGGAATTACGTGGGAAAGATACCAAGTCATATTTATTCCTCAAAATGGAGGTGGCTTGTTGGAAGGTGGAAGGTCATTTGGCCATAGTGGAAATGGAATTGGGAGATAAATCGATGATCAAATGTAAACACATGGTGCTTAATCTAGCTTGAGACTAAGTTATCCCCAATTGAAATACCCTGGTAATTAATATTCATTTGTCTTTTAATGATGTTTTCAGATGCTCCAAAGATTCAGGTTTACTCACGTCATCCAGCAGAGAATGGAAAGCCGAATTTCCTGAATTGCTATGTGTCTGGGTTTCATCCATCCGACATTGAAGTTGACTTACTGAAGAATGGAAAGAAAATTGAAAAAGTGGAGCATTCAGACTTGTCTTTCAGCAAGGACTGGTCTTTCTATCTCTTGTACTACACCGAGTTTACCCCCAATGAAAAAGATGAGTATGCCTGCCGTGTGAGCCATGTGACTTTCCCAACACCCAAGACAGTAAAGTGGGGTAAGTCTTACATTCTTTTGTAGGCTGCTGAAAGTTGTGTATGAGTAGTCATGTCATAAAGCTGCTTTGATATTAAAAAAATTCATCTATGGCCATACTGCCCTGAATGAGTCCCATCCCATCTGATAAAAAATAATCTGCATATTGGGATTGTCAGGGAATGTGCTTAAAGATCAGATTAGTGACACCTGCTGAGAGACTGCTGCACAGCATGGTTTCTGAACCAGCAGTTTCCCTGCAGTTGAGCAGGGAGCAGCAGCAGCAGTTGCACGAATACATACGCACTCCTAACACTTCTTACCTACTGACTTCCTCAGCTTTCGTGGCAGCTTTAGGTATATTTAGCACTAACGAACATCTCAGGAAGGTATAGGCCTTTGTAAGTCCTGCTATCCTAGCATCCTATAATCCTGGACTCCTCCAATACTCTCTGGGTGGATTGGTATCTGAGGCTAGTAGGCAGGGCTTGTTCCTGCTGGGTAGCTCCAAACAAGGTATTCATTGATAGGAACAGCAGCCTGTTTTGCCAGCCTTATTTCTAATAGTTTTAGACATTTGTTAGTACATGGTGTTTTTTGTTTTGTTTTGTTTTAACACAATGTAAACAAATAGTACATCGTATTTTAAAAGTAAAACTTAATGTCTTCCTTTTTCTTTCTTCACTGTCTTTTTCATAGATCGAAATATGTAACCAGCATCATGGAGGTAAGTTCTTGACTTTAATTAAATGTTTTTTGTTTCACTGGGAACTATTTATAGACAGCCCTAACATGATAACCCTCACTATGTGGAGAACATTGACAGAGTAGCATTTTAGCAGGCAAAGAGGAATCCTATAGGGTCACATTCCCTTCTCCTGTGGAGTAGCATGAAAAAGGTATGTGGCCCCAGCTGTGGCCACATTACTGACTCTACAGGGAGGGCAAAGAAACTGCCAGTGTGGTATTGCAGGATAGAGGCAAGTGGTTACCCACATTACCTGCAAGGCTTTCATCTTTCTTCTGCCATTTCCACATTGGACATCTCTGCTGAGAAGAGGGCTGTCAAAAGTGAACCACTCTCTTCCTTTGTATCATAGCTGTTTCATTCTTCAGACAGACGAGAGAAGTTACACAGTTCTGCAGATGTCCCATTCCTGTGTGGGGACTGTGTTTGCCTGTTAGAGGCTCCCAGGCCACTAGAGGAGATAAAAGGAAACAGATTGTTATGACTTGATATAATGATACTATAATAGATGTAACTACAAGGAGATCTAGAGGGAGGGAGGAACTTGGACTTCTCTGCATCTTTAGTTGGAGTCCAGAGGTATAAGATCCAGCTTTTCATGAAATTCTACTGCCCAGGGTACCTTGATGCTGAAAACCCATTCAAATATCCTGTTATATTCCAGAACAGTGAATTGATTTGGGAGAGCATCAGGAAGGTGGATGATCTGCCCAGTCACACTGTTACTAAATTGTAGAGCCAGGACCTGAACTCTAATATAGTCATATGTTACTTAATGATGGAAACATGTTCTGAGAAATGGTTACACAAACCTAGGTGTTGTAGCCTACTACACACATAGGCTATATGGTATAACC